TGTGCGGCTTCGCCCCCTATGAGTGGCGCGCCATGGAGCTGCTCAAGGTCTCCAAGGACAAGCGCGCCCTCAAGTTCATCAAGAAAAGGGTGGGGACGCACATCCGCGCCAAGAGGAAGCGTGAGGAGCTGAGCAACGTGCTGGCTGCCAAGAGGAAGGCAGCTGCCAAGAAGGACTGAGCCCCTCCGGAATAAAGACTTGCAGAAAAAAAAAAAAAAAAAAAAAAAAAAAAAAAGCAGAAAAAAAAAAAAAACAAAAAAAAAATCATAAATGAGAAAGATTTTCAAGAAATTTTACATATATAAAGAAATAGAAAATGTTGATACACAAGAGTAACATTTTAGTACTGAGAAAGTTGCACATGAAGAGTTCAGAAGGGCCAGCAAAAAAGCTCAGCAGACTAAGGGGCTGCTTAGGCAAGTGCAGGATATGGGGTTTGATCGCTGGTACTATGTGCCGCACCAGCCCCGCCCCTGGGCACACTAAGCTGGCCACTAAGACCAGGTATGGTGGTGCAAGCCTGTAATCCCAAAGCTGGGGAGCCTGAAAACAGGAGGATCACTGTTAAGTCTGAGCTGTGTAGTGAGACCCTGTACCAAATACATTTTTTTAAAATTGAGGGAGGGGCCGGGGAGATGGCTCAGTAGGATAAGCGCTTGACTGGCAAATGCAAGGATCTGAGTTCAATCCCCGGTTCTGAAAAAAAAAAAAAAAATTGAGGGAAGTGCTGGGCATGGTGGTCCTTTTCTATAATCTAAGCACTTGGGAAGCTGAGGCAGGAGGATCAATGTGAGTTCAAGACCAGCCTGGGCTACAAAGTGAGCTCAAAGCCAGTCTTAACTGCATAGTGAGACCCTGTTCAAAAAAAACCAAACAAAAAAAAAAAAACCAACGGGCTGGCCAGATAGCTCAGTGAATTTAAGTGCCTGCTTAGACAGGCATAGCGACAGGTTTGATCCCTGGCATGCTGTGCCAGCCCCACCCCTGGGGCACACTGAGACAGCAACTGACTAGGACTGGGAGTGCTGGTGTGCATTTGTAATCCCAGTGCTGGGGAGGCAGAAAATGGGAGGATTACTACGAGTCCGATCTGTGTATTGAGGCGCTGTAGACCCTGTGCTAAAATACATAAACACAAAGAACAAAAAAATACAAAGAATTTAAAATGATGCAAAATTGGAAAGACCGGAGTGTCGCTCATTGGTAGAGCCCTTTGCCTAACAAAAGAAGGCTTTAGATTCAATTTCCAGTATTGCAAAACATATAACAGCAATAAACAAAAGAAAATTTGAACAGACGATTCTATAGCAGGCTTCATTAACACTCTGAATTTAACACTGTAGTTGCAATCACCATTTGAGGGGTTGGCCAGATAGCTCAGCAGACTAAAGCGCCTGCTTAGGCAGAGTGCAGTGGCTGGGGTCCCCAGTGTGCCATGCGGGCCCTGCCCCCCAGGGCGTGCTAAGATAGTGACTGAGATGGCATGGTAGCCTGCGCTTGTGACCCCCGCTTTTAGGAGGCTGAAAACAGAAGGATTTTTATGAGTCTGATCTACTTAGTGAGACCCTGTAGAACCTGTAATAAAATACATTTTTTAAAAAAATTCATCATTTGAGGGCCCAGTCAGGGTTACAGCTCAGTAGCACAGTACCTACCTGGCAAAGACAAGGTCCTGAGTTCAACTCCAAGTACCAAAAAAAAATTGAATTTTAGGATGATAAACCACAAAATTTTATTACAAAGATTTGGATACAAAGAAATACATTTACTTATATCTGATAATTCAGTCATTTGTTGGACTTGACCAGTGAATTAAAACAAATTTATCTAGTAACTTTGTGTGTGTGTGTGTGTGTGTGTGTGTGTGTGTGTGTGTGTTTGGTGCTTTGAATCAAACCCCAGCCTTGAGTACACTAAGCACACACTATAGCACTGAGCTACTCCTCGAGCCTGGTAATTACTGTACTGACAGAACTGACCAATGTTGGGTCATTATGAAAATACTATCTTCAGCACAAAACTGCTTCAGAGTTCATGTTTACTGAGCTCATGCTGAACTGTATTATGCACGTAGCATTTCTGCGAGGGAGGATCTGCTCTCCTGCACCCCATTTTACAAATGACACCAAGGCACAGAGTGGCAGAGCTGGGATACATGCCAAACTACCTCCTATGTTGTAACAACAGCTTACCATCTTCTTTTGCTGTAGTACTAAAACAAAATCAAAATTATAATTTGGAGCCATGGTTCCCTAAATTGGCTAACGTAAAAATCTACATCTAGAAAGAATCACATTGGAGTCGTTTGTTTTTTGGTAAGTACAGACATTCCTCACTTAATGACAGTTGCGTTCCTCCCACTAGGTCATTAAATGAGGAGCTGCACACAATAGGTATATTATAATATCCAGAACAAAGAAGTGGTCAAAGGAAGCACTGACTGGGTGTCTTTGGTTTTATTAACATGACTCTCGCATGCAGTGCTGTAATGTATAACAGAACACAAAACGACAGCACTCCACTGTACAGTACAACCAGCAAAAATGAGCGCTATATGAATAAGGTGTACCGTACAAAAAAAGACATGAGGCTCTATGAACAAGATGTACAGGGCCCCGGAGATAGCTCAGTGGTCTAAGTACCTGTCTGGAAAGCGCAAGGACCTGGGTTCCATCCCTGGCACCACATGCCATGCGGGCCCTGCCCTGGGCGTGCTAAGTCAGCCACCAAGATAGAGCATGGTGGTACACACCTGTAATCCCAGCACTGGGGAGGCTGAAAACAGGAGGATCACTGCAAGTCCGAGCTACACAGTGAGACCCTGTACCAAATACATAAGATTTGTAAAAAAGATGTACAGAACTATACAAAGAAATTGTTGGGGCTGGCAGGATAGCTCAGTGCACTAAAGCACCTGCTTAGGCAAGCTTAGGCAAGAGCAGGGACCGCGGTTCAAACCCCAGCACCACATGCCATACCCACACTGCCTCCAGGTGGGCTGCGGTGACCACACACACACACAGAGCTTGTTAAGTGAGGGGCATCTGAGCACTTACAGATTTCCACGCTTGTTCATTTGCACCAATATCCTGGATCCTCTCCTTCACAGCGCCCTCTGCAGCTGGGATGGGGCCGCCACTGTCACTGAGCAGAGTGGCCAGCTGACTGAGGAGATCCTGATGCTGGGATCCTGCAGTTTTAATTTCTTGGCTGCATGCACATGGAAGGCCACCCAACTTAGGTGTTTGGTTGTCCTCTTGGGACAATACTTGTAGAGATTTATCCCAGATTTTCTGTGCATCATTTGGTCCTTCAGTGTAAATAATGTCGCTCTCAAAGTCTCTGGCCAGGAATGCTTTGTCCTTGTCCTGAGTATGCCAAAACACAGGTTAAATGTCCTCACTGATGTGAGTATAACACAGTTATAGCACAGAAGGTCACGAGAAATGACCTTCATAAGAAGAAAGACTTTACTCAAAAGGTCAAATGAGAACAACAAAAGGTAGAAATGTAGTTTTGAGAAACAGCTAACTAAAAACCTCTAGTTGATAAGGCTAAAAACTCCTAATCAAAGAACTGGAGACAAGGAGATAGCTCGGTGGCATAAGCACCTGCCTGGCAAGTGCAAGGTCCCAAGTTCGATCCTCGGTACTACAAAAAGAAAAACTGAATCAGGTAAGGATCATCAACGAATGCTAAGACCCCAAAGTGAGAAGGTGCCAGGGAAATGCTATTTTCGTAAGATTTATGGCTATCCAATGAAGGCTATTATCAATAATAGCCTTGATAATGTAAAAGTATAAATGAAAAAGTTGCATTTCTTTCCCATAATCTTTCCCTTGTGCTCCCAAAATCATTCTGCTTCCATTGCAAATATGACATGAAAGGGGACCTGCCTAATAGCTCAGTTGTTTAAGTGATTGCTTAAACAAAGCCCTCAAGCTTAAGATTCTGTGGTTCGAACCCAGATAGACACGGCAAACCAGAAATGCCCTAAAGGCATCTTTGGGCCTCCAAAAAAAAAAAAAAATGACATGAAAAATAATGTCTTTTTTTTTTTTTTTTTTGCCGAACCAGGGATTGAACTCAGGCCCTTGTGCTTGCCAGGCAAGCACTTATTCTACTGAGTTCTCTCCCCAGCCCCCCAAAATAATGTCTTTTAAAATTCTTCTTCTGGGGCGCTGGGGAGATAACTCAGTAGGATAAATACTTGCCTGGCAAGTGCAACGGCTTGAGTTCAATCCCCAGTTCCGCAAAAAAATAAAAAAAATAAAAAATTCCTCCTCTTCTTCCTCTTCCTCCTCTTCCTCATCCTCCTCCCCTTCCTCCCGCTCCTCCCCCTCCTCCTCCTTCCCTTCCTCCCCCTCCTCTTCCTCCTTCTTTATCATCATCTTTTGGAGACTGGGTTTTAACATGCAATTCCGGCTGGCCTTGAACTCACTTTGTAGCCCAGGCTGGCCCCAAATTCTCAGTGATCCTCCTGCCTCAGTCTCCCAGAGGCTGGGATTATGGACCTATGCCACCACACCTGGCCCCCACTCAAATTCTACATATCTTCTTTCCATTTTCCTGCCACTTTCAGAGCTAGGAACTGAATAAGTGAGTTCAGTTTCTGGGCTTTCTGTGAAACTGAAAAAAAGAAAGAGTAAGAATTGTGCAGGTTATGATGGGCTATGTCACTAAGAGCTCAGAAGAGGAAAAAGAAGCAGAATAAAGGAGCAAGGGAAGACAAGACCAGGGGTACATCTCCCCTCTTCCAGCTTTGAGTAACACCTTCCGCTCCTCCCGAGTCCCTGCCTCCTGTCACTCAGGCTCGCTTCCTTTAGCTCCAGCTGTGCTGTAATTCCAGCCCTTGGGGCTGGCGCCCACAACCCACCAGCACTCCGCTGTGCTGTGCTGTGATTCCCGCGCCTCAGGTTCAGTGACTCTCACTTCCTAAGCGTTTCTTCAGCCACCTACAGCCAGGTCCATAAACCTAGATTACTGCAGCAGCAGGACACAATCCGCACTAGGAAATGAGAACTCTTAGTACACTGCAGTTCACTCCTTCCCCACCATCCTCCTCTAGGCGACTCCCAGTGCGGTTCCTGCCACCCTTGAGAACCGCACACACCCTCGGGTTCTCCTAGACCTAGCACATCGTGTGCGTGCCCCGGAGTCCCCCCACGAGAATGCTTCTAAGGGTCCCCCATGGAAAAGAGGCCCAAGGCACTACTCGATACTTACCCATCACCTCCTGGAGTAACATAAGGAAACAAGAATCCTATTTCTTCAGAAATCAATCAAAACTTGTTCTAGGGCTGGGGAGACAGCTCAGTAGAATAAGTCTTGCCTGGCAAGTGCAGGGTCCTGAGTTCAATCCCCGGTACCAAAAACAAACCAAAAAAAAAAAAAACTTGTTCTTACCTTTGCTCGAAAAATATCCAAAGAATCTTCTTGTCCTTTTAGATTCGCGGGAGGGAACCTGCTCTTATGTGGCAACCTGTTCACCAGGAAGTCTGCTCTTCGCTGTGCTTTTTCTCTGTCAGCCAGATGTACTCTGCATAAGACACGAGTGGTAACGACATCACGAAACGGCTGCAACCCAGGCCGAGTGCCCGTCACGGGCACATGGCTCTCATCTATAATCCTAGCACCCTGGGAGGCTGAGGCAGGACAGTTGCAAGTATGAGCACAGAGTGGGCGAGCTAGCAAGACCTTGTCTCAAAACAAAAAATAAAGGAGCGAGGAATGTAGCTCAGCGTGAAGGTGATGGATTCAATCCCCAGAACTGCAGGGGAAAAAGAAGATTTTTTAAAAATCTTCCATTTAAAATATTTACATATGTATATGAAGTGAACACATATTTCTTATGAAAAGAGCTGTGCAAGTATCCAAGAATTTTTAGGGAAGGAGCCTGGGCCTAGCTCAGGCCTTTAAGTGGCTGCTTCCACAAAGCTGTCAGCCTCAGGTGGCTGGAGTTCGAACCTCACAACTCTCCCGCTGGCCAACGTGCCCTGAAGGCATGTGAGGACAAAAGAAAAAAAAAAAA